TCATAGTGGCACAGTTTGTAATAGCTAAAGCTTGGAAGCAGCCCAAGTGCCCATCAATTGGAAACTGGATAAAGAAGATGTGGCTTTTTTTATAAAATGGAGTACTACTTGGCCATAAAGAATGAAAAATGAGAGTTATTTATAGCTAAATGGATGCATATCGAGGCCATACTCATAAGCGAAATAAATAGGACACACGTGTAAATACCGAATAGTTTCACTAGTATGAGAAACTGATAGTGTAAACAAGGTTTAAAATGATTAAAATGAATAACTGATAATTTGAAACAGGAAAAAAGGTCCAAAGACAAAGGAGTGGAGAGGAAGAGGAAAGGAAAAGAGGGAAAGGAAAAACTATGAGAACAGAAAAAAAATGGAAATGAAATCTATGTAAATAGGTAAGGGTGGAGGGGGTGAAGGGTGCACAGATAATGGGGAAAAAAATAAGAACCAAGATATATCATGTACAGGTACAAACACCCAATGATAAATGTAAATGAACTGTATACCTAAAATGTACCAATAAAATGTACCAATAAAATTAATTTAAAAAAATAAAACTAAAATAATAAACTCGAAATGCCTTACAATAGGAAAAAGTATAAATGCTTTTTATAGGAAAGACCTATTGATTTCAAATATTGATGTCATATTACTTTGCGTACTTTCAATTCTAAGCACAGCTTGTTTAAAAGGGAAATGGCAGGTAAAAGGCCCTATACATAAGAAGAATGCCTGAAGGCAGAGAAGAGCAAAGATTGGACTCAGCTGTTGAAACTTATTATTATATATTTTGATATGTTATTATCAGGTATGATATATAATACATATCATATATAAATTCCTTTACAATTATATGTTAAACATAATTATCATGATAAATTATATAATAAACACTATATATTTCTTTAATATATGGTATGCAATATATAATGTTCCTTATAAGATATGTTTCTCAATTAGACAGGAATTATCTTATAGTGCTTTAATTCTTTTTTTTTTTGGACCAGGGATCGAACTCAGGACCTCGCACTTGCGAGGCAGGTGCAGTGCCACTGAGTTAAATCCCTGGCCATAGTGATTTAATTCTGTAAGTGTTTATTCCTGGGTGTCAAATCTTGAAAAGGAAGCATTACCTTTTTAAATGTTCTAGAGTCTGTAGATGAAGGGCCAGGGAGCTCACGGGTGGTATGGGATTCCTCACAGTACATTGTAAATTCCTGTGATTCCTCTTGGGTTCCATCTGGTATATCCAAAGCTCTATGAAGAGAAGAAACACAGACTGTTGATAAGCTAGCAGGAACAGTGAAAACTCAAGAAACCCAAAGTCATAATTCTTCATGTATGTTTCCAATGAACCAAAGCAAATCATTCTTCAAAACTTATATATCATTATAGACAATCTGATACTCTTGTAACACAGTGCTAAGAAACTTTGACAACTTCACCAGAATTCTTCTAAACTCTACAAAGGAAACAAATCAGAGGTAGATAGGTAGACAGATAGGTGGATAAACAGATGTGGAAATGAAAGAAATAATATTTTATTATACTACAAAGCTACTGTGAGCATGGTACTGGCAAAAAAAAAAAAAAAACAGACCCAAGGATCAATGGAACAAAATAGAAGATGCAGAAACAACTCCAAGCACATTCAGCTACCTTATCTTTGTTGATTTTTTATTTTTTGGTATGGGGGATTGAACTCGGGACCTTCCACTTTCCAGGCAGGCGGCAGAACCACTGAGCTAAATCCCCGGCTCTGTCTACCTTATCTTTGACAAAGGGGCCAAGCACCTTCACTGGAAGAAAGATATCCTCTCTAATAAATGGTGCTGGGAAAACTGGCTTTCCACCTGCTGGAGATTAAACCAAGACCTCTATCGCTCACCAAGAACTAAACTAAAAAATCTTTTTTTTTTTTCTCGGTACCAGAAATCAAACTCAGTACCCTATGCTTGCAACACAGGTGCAGCATTGCTGAGCTACATGCCCGGCACTAAACTATAATCAAAATGGATAGAAGTGCTAAATATAAAAACAGAAACACTAAATCTGCTGGAAGGTAGAACTCTTTTGAAGAATCCTTTGCCTGCAAGTAACACAAAGTCCAACTCGAGAAGTCTGAAAAAAACAAAACACATGTAAAACAAAAGGAGTGATTGAGTTGGCTTAATCAGTTAATTTAGTTGCTCCTGAATCATATATGGCCACAATTATACATGCCACATTAAGGTATGATGATACCAGAGGACAGCAGGACTCTTCCTGTGTTTTTCACTTAGAAGGAGAAAATCTTCCCTAGAAGCCAGTTATTTTTTTTTATTCTTTTATTTATTTTAGGTTTACAATACATTTACATTTATCATTGGGAGCTTGTACCTGTACATGATGTATCTTAGTTCTTATTTTTTTCCCCATTGTCTGTGCGCCCTTCACCCCCTCCACCCTTCCCTATTTACACAAATTTTGTTTCCATTTTTTTTTCTTTTCTCATAATTTTTCCTCTCCCTTCTTCCCTTTTCCCTTCCCCTCCTACCACCCCTACACCTTTGGACCTTTTCCTATGTCAAATTATGAATTATTCATTTTAATCCTCATTTACACTTTCAGTTTCTCACACTAGAGAACCTATTTGGTATTTACACATATGTGTCCTATTTATTTCACTGAAGA